TTTATCTCTCTGCATCCATGCCAACATTTATTGTTTTGGGACTTTTTGATAAAGGTCATTCTTACTGGAGATAAGTGATATCTCATTGTGGTTTTGATTTGCATTTCTCTGATGATTAGAGATGTTGAGCATTTTTTCATGTTTGTTGGCCATTATTCTGTCTTCTGTTGGAAAGTTTCTGCTTATGTCCTTTGCCCACTTTTTGATAGGGTTGTTTGATTTTTCCTTGCTGATTTTCCTGAGTTCTATATAGATTCTAGTTGTCAGCCCTTTATTGGATGTGTAGCTTGTGAAAAATTTCTCCCATTCTGTAGGTTGTCTTTTGCTCTCTTGACAGATTCTTTGGCTGTGCATTATGTCTTCACTCTTAATTTGATCAGGTCCCATTTATTTATTTTTGTTGATGCTGTGATGGCCTTTGGGGTCTTCTTCATAAATTCTTTGCTTAGGCCAATGTCTAGAAGAGTATTTCCAACGTTTTCCTCTAGAATTCTAATAGTTTCACACCTTAGGTTTAAGTCTGTTACCCAGCATGAGTTGATTTCAAATAGGTTATTCAGTAATACGTTCTTTAGTTTCTAAATACTTGAGGATTTTCCAGGTATCTTTGTGTTACTGATGCCTAATTTAATTCTACTGTGGCTGGAGAACACACTTTCTATGATTTACATTCCTTAACATTTACTGTAACTTGTTTCATGGCCCTGAATATGGCCTATCTTAATAGTGTAGCTGGGATCTGAGTCCAGTCTGGACTCAGAATATATATTCTTATCACACTGTCGCTATTTTGTTTCTTTTTCTTTTCTTTTCTTTTTTTTTTTTTTTTTTTTGAGACAGAGTCTCACTTTCTTGCCATAGGGTCAGCCTAGCTCGCAGCAACCTCAAACTGCTGGGCTCAAGCAATCCTCCTGCCTCAGCCTCCCGGGTAGCTGAGACTACAGGCATGCGCCACCATGCCCAGCTAATTTTTTTCTATTTTTAGTTGTTTGGCTAATTTCTTTCTATTTACGGTAGAGATGGGGTCTCGCTCTTGCTCAGGCTGGTCTTGAACTTCTGAGCTCAAGCAATCCTCCCGCCTTGGCCTCCCAGAATGCTAGGATTACAGGCTTGAGCCACTGCTATTTTGTTTCTTAAACAAACTTTCAACCAATCCTTTTGTTTTTAACTTTAGGGACCTCCCTTCCCCCATTGCTAGAACAATCTGGTTCTACCTACTTTTGAGCTTTTAAGGGTTTGCTCTCTGCTTCAGCTTCTCAGATTTCCTACCGTCTGCTTAGGACCCACCTTTCTTGGTCTGCCATGTCAGTTTCCTGCCACTTGTCCATATGCTTCCAGCTTCCAAATCAGTTATTTTTCCTTTCCCATTCTGTCTTTGTGACATTTTTTAATAGTAGTAAAATATACATAACATAGAATTTACCATTTTTAAGTGTATAGTTCACTGGCATTAAGTACATTCACATGGTTGTGCAAACCATCACCACCATCTATCTCCAGAACTTTGTCGTCATCCCAAACTAAACCTCTGTACCCATTAAACACTAACTCCCCATTTCTGCCTACACCCAGCCCCAGGCATCCACCTTTCTACTTCCTGTCCCTATGAATTTGACTACCCCAGGGACCTCACAGAAGCAGAATCACAGTCTTTGTCCTTTGGTGACTGGCTTCTTTTACCAGCATAATAGTCTCAAGGTTTATCCATGTTGTAGCATGTGTCAGAATTTCCTTTTTAAGGATGAATAATTTTCCACTTTATGTGTTAACCACTTGGCATATATCTTTTGTTTATTCATTCATCTGCTGATGGACAGACACATAGGTTGTTTCCTCCTTTTAGCTACCGTAAATAATGTGTTACGAACATGGGTGTACAAATATCTGCTAGAATCCTTGCTTTCATTTCTTCTGGGTACAGACCAGAAGTAGAATTGCTAGGTCACATGGTAATTCTTTATTTTTTAATTTTTATTTATTTATTTATTTATTTATTTATTTATTTATTTATTTATTTATTTATTTATTTATTTATTTATTTATTTATTTATTTTTTTTGAGACAGAGTCTCACTTTTGTTGTCCAGGCTAGAGTGAGTGCTGTGGCATCAGCCTAGCTCACAGCAACCTCAAACCCCTGGGTTTAAGCAATCCTCCCGACTCAGCCTCCCAAGTAGGTGAGATTACAGGCACTCGCCACCATGCCTGGCTAATTTTTTCTATATTTTAGTAGAGACAGGGGCTTGCTCTTGTTCAGGCTGGTCTTGAACTCCTGAGCTCAAGTGATTCTCCCACCTCGGCCTCCCACAGAGCTAGGATAACAGGTGTGAGCCAATGCAGTTGGCCTCTATTTTTAATTACTTCAGGAATCACCATACTATTTTCCATAGTGGCTGTACCATTTAACATTCCTTTGTGGGTTGTTTTTTAACCTTCTAAAGATTCCTTCACTATTGTTTTTTTTTTTTATTTTATTTATATTCATCTTTCTTTGTTCTCAATCTTCACTGTGCATGTTCAATCTGTCATCAGGAACTGGATACCAGGAAGTCTTGTTGAATGCATGCAGCTGAGCAGCACATAAAAGCCCTCAGGGTCTGCAGCCTTCCAAAGTGCTCATATAGTAGTGGAACAGGTTCTACCTTTGTGGAACAGGTGATAGAGTGAAGTCTATTGTAGCCACCAAGTGTGCCTTGATGTCTCTGTCCAGGGACTGTTGAGGGAGGTCCTGGGCACAAACCAGGAGACCCCCTGCTGGTGCCTGGCAAAAAGGTGCAGCCACACGTGAGACAGGCTAAGTTGGGGCTCACCTCACGGTGCCTTGGTCCCTGGGGGTGGTGACCACACAGTGGAGGACACACAGATGCTGGTGGATGAGTCAAACCAGAAGTTTCTGAGGCTGAGGCAAGCAGGTGGTTGAGGGCAATGCACCAGGCATGGTAGCCAGGCTCAGTTCTATCCCTCACCCACCATGTGTCCCCACAAAGGTGCCCTATTCCTGTGGGTTGCAATTTTCTTTTTCTAAGGTCTCCAGGGCACAGACTACATCTTCGCGCTGATGGGGCCTGTCTTTCTGACCAATGTTACTTGCATGTGAAAAGTGGTGCCTTCCAGGGACAGGGGCTGGTTGGAGTGTGAGGCCCATCTGAGAAGGGACTAACACCTTGGAGGTAGAGGCCTCTCGTCTGGACTCAGGGCCAAGCAGGGTCTCTGACAGATGAATCTAGGAGTGGATCTTGTGGCTGCAGACTACAGGCTGTAGGGTTCTAGCTGTGAGGGTGCCCCACTGCGGCAGTCTGGACACAGGCCATCTGCTGGTGGGACCACACAGAGCCCCAGACCCAAGGCCCTGGCCCATATGGTGCTTTCAGATCTCATCTGCCTTACAGGGGGTCTTTGAAGCCATGGCACCAAGCCTGAGCCCTGATTCCCCTGTACATGCCAGCCAGGACTCCATGGGTGTAAGATATCAGGACAAAGGCACACAAACCTCTGTGTAAAGTGCAATGTCCTGCTCGCCCCCCCGAAATGTGGCCTGGAACACAAACTCCCCTAAGAAGCCCCAGCCAGCGTGTATGGTCCAGCCACACATGTGCTGGTCAGCAGCCCTAACTACTCACTTGCTTACACTCAGGGAGCCCGCTTTGGGCCAAGTGTTGTGCTGAGCAGTGGAGACACATTTCCACAGCCTCCATCTCATTTCAAGGCCCCTCTGGAAGAGGCTGAGAAGGTGAACTATGATGCCAACAGGAACACAGCCCCAGGGCCAGATGCAGGATGCTAAGCATTTGGCTCCGGTACTCCATGCACATCCTCCACAGCCAGCCACTGCCTCTGCTGTGATGTTGTGTTGAAAAGCGCAAAACCTCCCACAAACTTTGGAAAAGTTCCAAAAGCTCCCACAAACAGCTGGTATGCTGGACGGTGCCTATGCCTGATGCACTGTCTGCAGGACCTGCCACAGCCCTGTAGCCTCCACCCTACCTTTGTAAGTCCACACCCTGGCCCCACAGCAGTGGGGCGGCTACTTCCCTCAACACCTGGGTGGGGGGCAAGGCCCTGACCAGAGGCTCAATCTCTGCAGAGGCAAAGGCCTGACCAGGGTGGACTCTCATTGCAACAGAGCAGTCTGTGCATGACTGACCTGAGGGCATGTCTGTGTGTATACAGGTGTGTACCTGTGTCTGTGTGTTGGTTCCCTGGCTGTGCCCTGTAGATGCCCATGACACTGGGGTGGATGGCCTGCCACAGACACGCAGCTGCCTGTGGGGCTGCCCTGTGCTCACTCTGCCCAGCCAGGGGCTCAGTCTGGCTACTAGATTAGCTGCATAGGAGCTGCCTGGCTGACAGGACCATGGCCCAGGCCCAGACCAACCTAGAATATCAGCTACGGGAGCCCCAGGCACAACATGGCCTCCTAAATGGCCCTAGGTAGCTATAAACAAGTGGCTGGCTCCAACTTCTAACCCCTGGGGCAGCTCAGGTATCACTAGACCTGGACACAACAAGCCCACCATCACACTCGACCTGCTCACAGGAGCTTTCTGCCAGCATGCCCCATCAAGACCCAGATGGCCTGAGTCTCACCAAGTGGTCACCACCCCTACGCTGCAGGAGCAGAAAGCAAGTGCAGCAAGCACACAGGTGCCTAACCACTGCTGCCTTGTCCGTGTCACGGAGGGTGATCACTCTGCTTGGAGCAGAGTGGACACTGGCTGGCCAAGACACTGAGGCCACATGTCCTTCTCGCTGCCAGGATGGCCTGGGGCTCTTCTCAGGGCCCCCAACAATGCCCAAGTCCCAGCAGAAACCCAGGTGTGGGGTTTTTCAGGAGACATGTGCATCTTCTCAGAGATGGCACTCATGTGTGGCAGGCCCTGTGTTGGGGCTGCCAGGACCTGTCTAGGTGCTGCCTGGCACAGACCAGGAGCCTTCCACAGCCCTTACCTGAGCTAGCAGCAGAGCCTGGAGGTGCCAAGGGTCCTGCACACTGGGCCTTACCTTTGGTGTCGTTGACAGGATCCATGTGCCGGTAGATGTAGCCCTCCAGGTAGGAGTGGAACTTGGGCGTGGGTGGAAAGAAGGCCAGGCAAATAGCCATGAGCTCCCACCCACGGGCCAGGCTCTCGAGGCGGAAATTCTCAGTGGTCTGCCGGCACAGCTGGATGTAGAGCTCGTCCCGCAGGCCCTGCACGCTCCAGCCCTTGGTGACGACCTCCAGGGCCACGTGCAGTGGGTCCGCCTTGGCCCGCCGGTCGCCCATGTACATCTGGATGAGCTTGAATAGCTCGCAGGCCTCCTTTTTTACGTGCCGGTCGCTGGTCACAATCATGGGCTTCTTGATGGACTCGCTGCTCCAGGCTAGCATGTTGGCAATGGACACCTTCCGCCGGAAGAGGCCTTGGGTGTGCTTGTTGAAGTGCTTGGAGGCCCAGTTCTCAATGTCTGTCTCCGAGGAGGGCTTGCGCAGCGTGAAGGTGGGGAAGACGCAGCTGGAGCTGGGCATCACACTGCGGCTCTGCCGGCTGCTCTCAAACTGGGCACAGGCACCGAGGTCCTCAGACTGAGAAGGACAAATGGAGCTGAGCCATTAGGGGCTGGGAGTGGGCTGGGCAGCTGGCCACTTTGACCACAGCCCCAGAGGTATGTGCTGGGGGCCCCACCTGATCCAGCCAGGTGAGAGGCTGCCCTGCTCACCACAAGGCTGCCTGAGGTGGGAGGTCCAGGAGGGGGCCCGGTAAGGCAGAGCAGCCAGAACAGCAATGCTGTCAGGGAGCCCAGTGACCCAGCTGATGGCAGGGTGGAGAGGAAGGCATCAGGATCCATCCCCAGGCTGGGGCTGATCTCATGCTGCTGTCTCCTAAGGAAGTGCTAGCGTCCTTTAGGGGCAGGAAACTGCAACTTGCACTGCATAAGGCCAGTGTCTAGTTCCCAATCCCACTTCTCCTGGCATCCATATGACTCTGAGACCCTTCTTTCCACCTTTACTCTGGGAGCTGGTCCTCCAGGAGGACCCTCCCTCTCTGTGTTGCTCTCGGAGGACCTTGACCTATGTGGCCTGAGCCTCTCTGTCCTGTCCTCTTCCCATGTCACAAGCAGTGGACAGAAACACTGACTGGAAGCTGCTCTGAGCTATGCAGCCTGGAGGGTCACTAAGGCCATGTGGCAGCTCTTGAGGCAGGCCGCCTCCACTCTAGGAGGCCCTTTGGATTCTTACTCCACCTTCCCTGTCCCTTAGGCCACTAGCCAGACCCAGTAGACACCAAGCCTGCCCTAAGCCTCAGCTTCCTGTATCTGTAGCAGCCTGGTGTGATCAGTGAGGGTCAGGAAGTGAAAACAAGGGCGTCAGAGCACATGGAGTCCTGGGGGCCTGGAGGTCTCCAGGAGGGAGGACCTTTGACACTGATGCTCAGGCACTGAGCTGCTGGACAGAGCCACATCTAGGTGCCAATGGGTTGCACCACACCTGCTCCTGGCACCACTGGGGAGCATGCTAGGGTGGGCCTCTGCTCCGGCTCCAGCTGTGGCTACAACACCCCAGGATCCCCAGGGCCAGCCTCTTTAGCAGCCTTTCCTGCCTGGGGAGGGCCCCACCCGGAGACTGGCTCTAAGAACCACCATAGGGCGTCTGATGCGCCAGCTGCTCCTTTCCTCAGGGCCCAGGCACAGTGTCAGGAGGTTGCCCTCCCAGTCTGCTATGGCCTCTGTGTTTCTGCAGCTTGCAGTCAGGGCATGCCCTCAGCTCCAAGTGACCCGAAGAGCCTGCCTCAGAGCCCCAGGTCACCCTCTGTGGAGGATTCGGGGTGGGCTCGCTGGCTGTGTCCTCACAGCCCACTGGTGTGCTTAGGGCCTCGAGATGCCAGGCACTAGGACCACTATGTGCCACACTAACATCATGGGCGCCAGAAACACCTGAGCCTGGCCTGCTACCCATCCCCCTGTCCCGCATGCTGTCCCCAAGCTCTTGGGCCGGCCTGAGGAGCTGGTGGCCTTGGGGATCCCTGACCTCGCCATGGTGCCCCTCACCTGTGAGGGATGGAGGTAAGGCTCCGGTGAGGCCAGATTGGTCTGCACAGAGATGCTCTTCTCGAGTAGGATCTGGGGAAAGCCGAGCTTCTCGAAGGTGCTTCTCTTCCAGTGCCGGCTCTCCTGTTGGGCTAGGGCCTCGTCCTCACTGAAGGCGCGCACCACAGGCCCGGGCATGGGCAGTGGCAAGGCGCCATCGCTCTCATAGCCCGAGCCGTCCTGCTGGGAATCCCAGCTGCTCCTCTGCTTCATGTGGAAGTGGACCTGCTGTGCCTCCCAGGCCAGCCGTGCCTGTGCCAGGAAGGGCTCAGCAGTGCCCCGCACCCCATCCGCCTCGCCCTCTGTGCGCTTCACTGGGATGAGGCTGGGCCCACAGGAGGGCCGTTCCTCTGCCAGGGGCTGCTCTCGGAGTAGGTCCCCTGGGCCATCAGTGGCAGGGGTGTTAGGGGCCTGGCACAGAGAGGGCTTTCTGCTCTTCCTCTTGCGTGTGCCTGGAGAATAACCAGTGGATGACATGGTGTCCTGCTGACTAGACCAGGACATGGTGTCCTCCTGGGCCTGCGGCAGTGGTGTGTGCACTGGGCCAGGCCGTAGCTCGGGCCCCTCCATGGTGCTGTAGTCTCCAGACTTGACACCCAGTCGCTGGTCCCTTAGCAGGCAGGGGCTGGGCTGCAGGGAGTAGGAGCCGCCCCCAGGGTTGGGGGTGTACTTGTGCCGGGGGCCGGCTCGCAGCTTGGGGCTGGAGCCAGCCTGCTCCACATACACCAGCTGCCGCACGTACTCCTTGCCCGCGGGGCTGTATTCCAGGCTCATGAAGCGCTCTGGGCACTTCTGTTTGGTGAGCACTAGCTGCTGGCAGGGTGAAGGGGGAGCCTGCTTGGACGATGGCAGGAAGGCACGGGGCTTTCGTCCCGGTGACCTCTGGGGTGAGCTGGCCTGGAAGCTCCCACTAGCCTCATACTGCACGTCCATTGGGGGCTCGTCATAGATGGGAGCCTGGTACTCCACTGGGGGCTCCTCATACAGAGGTGGCTCATAGCCATAGCGTGGGGAGGAGGGCTGAGAGTCACTGGAGGGTTTTCGGGGCTGGGCCAGCAGTGGGGAACAGCTCCCCGGGAGCTCGGCCCTCTTTAGGAAGGGGGATGGCCTCCTTTCTGGGAAGAAGACGGTGCCGTCGGCCTCTGGGGAGAAGGTCTGCAGGTTGGGTGAGTGCTGGCTGCCAGAAGGTCTGCGGGAGCGGCCCCCAGGTTGGCTGTCTGGGGGGTAGCCATTGCCCTGGGGGGCAAGGAAGCTGGGCTCACGGTCAGCCACCTTTATGAGCACACGCTCCTTGGTGCCTGAATTCCACCGGAGCGAGGAGGTCCTGTGTGGGGAGTGGACAGGCATGGTTACTCAGGGGAAGTGGTGGAGCCTGGCCCCACAGCATCCTTGCCACCCTGCCTCCCTGGGAACCATCTGTCAGCCGTTTCTCGGTCCTTGCTGCCTGGAACAGCTGCCCCTGGTCCTGCTGCTTCTGTCCCTGCCTGATACTGGGTCTCTCTAGATAAGGCTACAATTCCTCAACACCTGGGTGGTGGGTGAGGCATGGCCAGGGTGCTTGTTCCTGGGATTTCTCCTCTTGGCTGCTGGAGGCTACTCCTATCTGCCACCAGGGGCCAACCAGGTGGAGGGGGCAGTGGAGCAAGTTCCCCGAGGGCTCGCCACAGCATCAACCTCTCCACTGTCTGGAAAGACATGGTGTGAAAGGCTCTGGAGCCCAAGAGATCGGGGACTGAACACCACCTGTTGCTCCCTGCTACAGGCGTAGGTTTCTTTCTTTCTTTCTTTTTTTAAAACTTAAATTATTTCTTCTTCTTTTTTTGTTTTATTTCACCCTGCAAATTCAGACAGAATTAGGTTTCATTCAACATCTTTCTGTCTCAGTTTCCTCATCAGTTATTATGAAGATTCAATAACACAATGCATATATAATAAAGTCCTTAGCTCAGGACACATAGAAAACACTCAGTAAATTTTAACCTTTATTTTTGCACATCTGTGATTCTATTTACCACTCAACAGATACTGCCTTAGCCTCCCATGCTGGGCCGGCCGCAGCCGACACTCAACCACACAGGTGCTGGGCTGTGGCCTAAGGAGGTACCTCCCCAGCTGTCAGCCGGGGTCCCTGAGATAGGACAAGTTGCAGGATGCAAGGAGGGTGGGGGTGAGTGTCACTGAAAGGCTTGCTGGTCAGACAACATACTCTATTCAGGGAACTAACTGAGAGTAGTTTGCCCAGTCAGGGCAGAAGACGGAGGAAATGGGCCATGCAAACCATGAGGAGGGGAGGCAAGGCCTGCTTGGCTGCAGGTCCCTGTGCTGAGCACCTCCTTAAAGTAGGCCCAAGGCCCATGCAGGGCACCTGAGTCATGGGCTACATGTCACAGATGGGGACACACCAAGAGGCCCAGAGACCACACCCCATGGATGCCCAGCATGTCTCCTGAGGCCTCTCTCACCAACCTGCCTCATTCTCCCTTCCACAGTCCAGGCAGGGAAGCTCCTGAGTCCTGCCAGACCTTTCTATAGCTTCACACCTGTGTTTCCCCGACCCCACTGCACTGCCTATCTCAGCTCCTCAGGCCTCATATCCAGGCCCAGGCCCTGCCCACTGTCATTCTTGTCTATTGGCTGAGCTTGCTGCCCCCTACCCCTGGGGACCTTGGGCAGCCTCAATGGCTCTGTGCCCTCAGCTGCCTGCCAGGCTTCCTCCTGGGATGTGTCTGCCCATTCCACACAGCCCAGGCTCCCCAGCTGGCCTCCCAGGTCCTCCTGAGTACAGGTCATCCCATCTCTCCAGGGGCACGTAGGACCATGGAGCTCTCTCTCCTCACACTCCCCAAACACAAACTTCTCCTCCTTATCCCTTCTCTAATTCTTGTACCAGAGCTCCATAGGGTGGAGGCACCAGGGCAAGAGACCTTCTCCCCATCTCTAAACCAAATGGAATCAGCCACCCCCAATACAGGGTATTTAGTGGACATTTTCAAACCACAAGGGAAGCTGGAAAACCTGGAGATGTTAGAAGTCAGGCAGGCAGGGCAGGGACAATGGCTTGATTCAGCTCAGAGTCCTGCAGGCCATTTCTCCCAGGGCCTATTTTCAAAGGAAGAATTGAGTACACTGCACAAAACCAGAAACAACACCAAAGCCAGAGTGCCTCTCTGCAGCGGTGTGGGGATGCCTAAGAACAAGGTGAACATGTTGTGGGTTTCAGAAGAAAATCTCTGTACCAGCTGGGTGTGGTGGCTCATGCCTGTAATCCTAGCACTCTGGGAGGCCAAGGCGGGCGGATCACTCAAGGTCAGGAGTTCGAAACCAGCCTGAACAAGAGTAAGACCCCGTCTACTAAAAATAGGCCAACTAAAAATATATAGAAAAAATTAGCCAGGCATAGTGGTGCATGCCTGTAGTCCTAGCTACTCGGGAGGCTGAGGCAGAAGGATTGCTTGAGCCCAGGAGTTTGAGGTTGCTGTGAGCTAAGCTGATGCCACAGCACTCTAGCCTGGGCAACAGAGTGAGACTCTGTCTCAAAAAAAAAAAAAAAAAAAGATAATCTCTGCACCAAAATTGGTAAGTGTGGATACGGTTACGCTCACACAGAACCAGAAGCACCCATACATTTGAAATTATGTTTGAAAAACAATTTCCTTCCTTAGTGCTTGGGTCACCCTGAGCCCCCACACCCACTGATGCCAGGGGTGTCCTCACTGCCATCCCTGCCCAGCAGCCTCCAGCAGTCGTTGAGGCACAGCCGATCCTGGACAGGCTTCCTCCTGCATCCCCTTCTCCCTGAAGACCCCATTCTCAGGTTTGTCTGTGGAGGTCAGCTTTCCCTGTGCATCCTGCCCTGGCTGGGTGAGTGCACCGACTCCTAAAGCTACGTGCTGCTGACGTGCTGGCACGCAGGCCCGCTCTCACTACTGGTGGGACACTATGGACACTCTGGCTAGAGCACTGCATGTTGGCCTGCTTGTCTCCCTCACATTTTCCCCATATCCTGCCAACTTCGCCTTCTAAATATTTCTCAAATCCACTGACCCTCTATCCCCAGTGCTGCTCCTACTCGGGGCATGAGATGTCACTGCGGGAGCTCTACACCCAGAACTTCCGCTCTCCACTACAAGAAACACAAAGCCCATGTGCGCCCACGGGTGGAATCACAAAGACGGCACTGCACAAGATGTGAAAACAGGGTGGTGACTATAACCTGGGAAGGTCCTGGAGAATCGCAGGGAGAGTGAGCTCAGGCAACTCCATTTTCAGCTGCAGATCTAGATGTAATCTCTTCATTTGAACACCTGAATGCTGATATTAAGCAGGCACTTTTTTTTTTATCCCAACGAGCAGACAGCACTAGAAGCCATTTGCTCGACTGGCTGGGGCGGCCTTTATTGCATCTCTGGACTGCATCCGCTTCTGGCTTTCTTTTACAATTGATCTCACAGGGGCTTTATTTCTTGCCATCCCACATGACATCATGCTGATCTTCTACACTGAGGATGGCTCATGAAAGGAAGCACCAGGCATGCTTGGGGTGCAGAATGGCCGTCCAGGCCTCTGGAGCCCAGCAGGCCCTGGCTGGCTCCAGTCCCTTCCTGCAGGCCAGTGGGACAGGGGTGCGGCTGGGCACCAGCCCCCTCCCTCACTTTTTGGAAGCACTTGTAAGGTGGTGGCAGCTGATACTCCCGCAGGCCCTGGTGGGAGTCCAGCCAGGTACTCCCTCAAAAGAGTTCTGCACCGGACCCTGGCACATACAGCACTCTGCCCTGGGTATGTCGTCACCTTCTGTAACCTTGCTTGGGTCTGCCCAAGCTATGCAGCGGGCCCTCTCACTAAGACCCCCCCAGGGAAAAAACTTCCCTTTCCAGAAGCCATAGAACATGAGACTTGGATGATAAGAACTTGCTTGGCAGATTCAGTTGGGCACACACAGGCCTGCTTTCAAGCAATTGATGATCTGGTGAGTGCAAGTCCCACCTCTGTTCATCGTGAGAACACAGAGAGGTTATAGATTCTCAGCAAAAAGGACTGAGAATGAGTCAGGACAGAGTCTGACCATGTACTTCCCTCACCTGCTCCACCCTCCCTGTTAAAAATATAGGTGTCAGCCTAGGATGCAGAAACCTCACTGAGTGCAAGGCCTTGCTCTTGTACTCCAGCTGGCACCCCTCCTGTGGACCCAGTCTCTTCCTCCAGACATCTCAGGAACTCAGTCCCATGGTCTTAGTGATGAGGACAACAACAGCAGTGGGTGGAGGGGTAGGAGGGTAGCTGAGCTGCCTGGCACAGAGTAGCCCCCAACTGGACTAGAACAGACCACACTGGCTGAAGGCAGGAAGTATCCCTCAGGCTGGGGTGGCACTCACAGCAGACATGCTGGGCTAGGCGGTCAACAAGGTGGCATGCCCCTGCCACCAACTGAGTTGCAGGATACAGAGGTCCCACAGAGCTCAGTGTGGGCTTATAGTCTCTATCTCCAATCCTTAGCTGACAACCCAGAAACGCAGCCACTCACACTGTCAACAGACTGATGCAAGAGTGGTCCCAGTGGGATCCTCAAGTGGAATCATCAGCAAGATGCAAGGCAGTGAGTGCTCAGAGGGGCAGAACACACAAGGCAGCAGCTGTAGCAAGTGCAGCCACCAAGTGGCAGAGGGGCCCAGGGACCTCAATCAAAGAAGATCCTTGGACCTCAGTGGACACCAGGACCTGGTGAGTCAGCTTGTGCAGCTAGATGTGGCTCCATGGGGCCAAAAGAAGCAGCTACCAGAGTGGTCTGGGGGGACAGGACGCTGGGGTGGGCTCAGCTCTGGACCTGCCACCCACCCCCAATATAGCCAGGAAGGCCCAGAAGATCCTTTTCACTTTACCTGACACCTGCAGTGGTGTGGTGTACCTACTTCCCCAAAGCCTGTAGAAGACATTGGAGATACCACCAGTGAACATTGGCTTTGAGGGGCAATGGCACCCTAGGGGTGGCAGTGTTGGCCACCAAAAAACAGGTGGACATATGCACCATAAAAGGTGCAGCTACCTCAGTCTGCTAGGGTGCTGCTCAGTCCACAGGGAAAAAAATGTCTGGTGACCAAAGCTACAACCTGATCTGCAGCGAGGATGGCTCCTCTACAAACTTGGTCAGTTCGCAGGAACCACTGAGTCAGCTGCTGGCTTGGCCTGTCTAACTGATGGGGACACAGAAGAATAGGAAGGCTGTGAAATGTGGCCATGATCAGATAGCCACATTGCTGGGACCAGAGTGGTCTTAAATTCCTTCCACAGCCTGGTGTTTAGCAAATACAAACTCAAACAAACCTAGTTACACTGGCATACTTCAGTTGTTCACCTGGACAAACTGCCAAAGCCTGCTCAGGTCTTCTAATTTCTCCTCAGTCGTGACACTGCTCTTGGGTGGCCCACAGTGGGGACACCCAAGCCACCCACAGAAATAGCACCCCAAGCTGGGTGCAGTGGTGAGCACCTGTAGTCCTACCTACTTGGGAGGCTGAGGTGGGAGGATTGCTTGAGCCCAGGAGTTGACCAGCCTGGGCAAAACACTAGATCCTGTCTCGAAAAAACAAACAAATAAAAAAATGCACTCTGCCCTGAGCCCTGCGTCCCCCATAGGAAACTGGTCACTAAGGCAAGGAGGGAGAAATCCAGGCGACTGCCTGGCAGTATCAGGAGGCCAAAGGAGGGCCCTACCCACCCAGCATGAAGGTGTCAGGGTCCTGAGGGTGGTCTCTGGAACGGTCCAATGCTCTGCAAGGCTGACCTAGCTGAGAGAACCTAAAGGCCACCCCCTCTTCCGTATAACTAACACTGATCCTCCAGACTGGGCCTAGAAAGTGCTGCCTGGGAGGGACCACATGTTGAGGACTCTCCAGGACCTTGCTCCTCTACCAGGGGCTGAGGGAAGTGCCATGGGCTCCACAGCTGCCTAAACTAGGTGGTGGCAAGGTTCTTCCAAGATAGGATATGCCTGTGGATCCAGGGACAGTTCTAAGTGGCCTGTACCCAGGCCCCAGAAGCCTGGAGCTTCCAGACTTTCCCAGTACTCCAGTGGAGGCAGCTGTCCTGGGCCGCACCCGCTAGCTGCTTCCTGCTGAGCTAGACTGGTCTCCAGTTAACCCATACTCGATGCATCAAGGAAGCCACCCTCTTATCAGCAGATGGGCCGTGCCTAAGACAGCAGGTTCTACCTGTAGTGAAGAAGCTGGCCATCTGCACTGTAATCCCGGTAAATTTCATAGTCCTTCTCAAGGAACACTCCTGGTGGTGAAGAACTGAAATATAACAAAATGAAAAATGACATGAACATAAATGCAATAATTTAAAAAATATGGACAATTAAAATAACTGGGCTTCCCCTGACATAAGAATCTTGATGTTGCTGCTTCAGTTTCCTAGTAATGACCCCAATCCTGGCTCTAGTGCAGAAAGCTATCGCTTCATTGGTCCAAATGGGTATTTCTTCTGCCCTCAGCCTGCCTTCTTCCAACAGGGACAGCCTCACTGTGGCCCATCCCGAGACTGTGGGACAGGCTGGGACACCAACTACCCCTGTCCTGGAATTCTGGAGCTTGAACCATTGGACCTAGGGCTACTGTTCAAAAGGCACAGTGATGGGGTCAGTGAGAATCACAGCTTCAACCAGATGTGAGAGATGACCTGAGAAGGAAGCATGGTCAGAAATACCCTTATGGAGACTGCAGCTTCTGACATTAGGACTTGGAACACCACAGGCACTCAACAATATCTGTGAAATGAAGAACTGAGTGGGCAATTATCTTGACAGATATTCAAAAGGCATTTACATCAAATCAATATGTATTCATGATTTTAAAAACTCAGTAGTTCAGAAGTAGAAGAAATTTACTTAACCCGATCAAGAATATCCATATTAAACTCAAGGCCTTCATGATACTCAGTAGCAGAAGGCTGAAAGCATATTCATTAAGGTTGGTGTAAGATTTATTCTCACTACCATTATATAATACAGTTTTAGAAGTGCTAGTCAATGCAATAAGAAAAAAAAAGCAAGAGATATAAGCATCTCAAAAAAAGAAAAAAAATATCATTAGCTGTCAGCTTAGAAAAACTAAGAGAATCAACCGAAAAACTACTATCAGTACTAGGGGACACTAGTAGTGTAGTATTCACTTAGTAACTAAGACATCAACAGGCTTTCTGTGTATCAGTTGGAACCCAAGTTCACCTTCGAATGGCAACAATAACAAAAATGACACAAAGTCCTAGGCATAAATTAACAAGAAATATGTTGGATCAATATGAATAAAACTATAAAGTTTTATTGAGATACATAAAGGAAGACTTGAATATATAACAGAGAAACACATAATGGTAGGTGGGAGAATAATAAACATAAAGATATAATTTATTTCTAAATTAGTTATAAGTTGAATATAATTCTAATAAAAATTTATGTTTAGAAAGTTTACCACTCTCCCCCCCCCGTAAAAACTGGTATGAAAAATTGAGAAAGGATAATGGCAGAAGAGATCATTTGTATCACTCCATATAAATAGTGATACAAAGCTGTATAATTAAAACAATGTGGTAGTGGTAGAGGAATAGATCCTGGAATATAACAGAAAGCCCAAATATTGACACAAATATATATAAGAAGTTAATAAACAAGAATTAAAAACTTTGTACAAAGCAAGAAGACTGGAGACGAATCATGTGTCTAACCATAGGCACTGGGTGAGGACACTGTTCATACTATGAAACACAATGCAGCTGCTGGAATGTTGTAGAATATTTTTTAAAACTGCAAGGCTATATACCATAAAATTAATACAGGTTGAGTATCCCACACTGAAAATGCTTGGGATCAGAAGTGTTTAAGATTTCAGGTTTTTTCAGAGTTTGAAATATTTGTGCATATATAATAAGCTGTTTTGGGGATGGGACCCAAGTCTAAATATGAAATTCATTTATGTCTCTTATACATCTTATATACATAGCCTGAAGGTAATTTTATATAATATTTTGAATAACTTTGTAAATAAAATACTTTTTTTTGGGGGGGGGGAAGACACAGAGTCTCACTCTATTGCCCAGGCTAGAGTGAGTGCCATGGCATCAGTCTAGCTCATAGAAACCTCAAACTCCTGGGCTCAAGCGATTCTCCTACCTCAGCCTCCCGAGTAGCTGGCACTACAGGCATGTGCCACCATGCCCGGCTAATTTTTTCTATATATTTTTAGTTGTACAGCTAATTTCTTTCTATTTTTAATAGAGATGGGGGTCTCACTCTTGCTCAGGCTTGTCTTGAACTCCTGACTGTGAGTGATCCTCCCACCTCGGCCTCCCAGAGTGCTAGGATTATAGGTGTGAGCCACCATGCCCGGCCATATAAAACATCATTTTGACTGTGACCCATCACATGAAGAGAGATGTGGAATTTTCTGCCTGTGATGTCAAGTTAGGGCTCAAAAATTTTCAGATTTTAGAGCATTTGGGAGTTTGGACTAGATATGTTCAGCCTATAATAGATGCCACAAGTAGGTATATATTTTTTTCTATGAAATTATATGTAGTTCCTATGACTACTGTGATTGCTTCTCTAATAAAAATGTTTAATGTCATTGTTTTTTTTTAAAAAGTTGAATACAGGGCCGGGCGCTGTGGCTCACGCCTGTAATCCTAGCTCTTGGGAGGCCGAGGCGGGCGGATTGCTCAAGGTCAGGAGTTCAAAACCAGCCTGAGCAAGAGCGAGACCCCGTCTCTACTATAAATAGAAAGAAATTAATTGGCCAACTGATATATATATATAAAATTAGCCGGGCATGGTGGCGCATGCCTGTAGTCCCAGCTACTCGGGAGGCTGAGGCAGAAGGATCATTGGAGCCCAGGAGTTTGAGGTTGCTGTGAGCTAGGCTGACGCCACGGCACTCACTCTAGCCTGGACAACAAAGCGAGACTCTGTCTCAAAAAAAAAAAAAAAAGTTGAATACATATTTGGTAAATGTGACGTTGTGTGACGTTGATTGGTGGTCAATATCCTCAAACACATAATTATGCTATGAAACAAAAAGCTGGAAATATGAAAAATGACATATGCAAGCACATCTACAGGATCCCTCGTCTACATCATCAGTGCTGTGTCCCTCCTGCTATTTCTGACTGGCACCAAAAGACAACTGAGGCCCTGTGTGAGAGCCAAGGGGACCTGGCATCATCAACAGTTGCAGCCACCAACCACTCTGCAGGCTCCCTGTGCTCACTGCAGCTTTGCCCCTCTGCCTGGGCAGGGCTCTTTCTCGCAAGCTGGGGACACATAACCTACTGGGGGACATGTGAGAAGCCGCTTTGCATCTGGCTGCCACCTTCACCTCAATATCCTGGAAGCACTGTGGACTCCAAGACACCAGAGGATGCTTCTCCTGCTGGACTCAGATAGCATCACAGTACCCAGAGCCCCTGGCACACTGAAGCTCCCTCTCCAGTCCCACCTCCAGCCACCAGCACCCAGGGCTGTGTCTGGGCCCTGTCATCTCTGCCCCAGACCTGTGCAGATGAGCTGGAACACCATCTCTGTGCTGGGCCTGGGTAGGGATGTGAGGTGTGTGGCAGACACACTCCTACTCCCATGGAGCACCTGTCCCAGGGTATCTGCCATGGAATAATCTAGAACCTCAGGTGGCTGTGGGACTAAAAACAGGGAGTGCCACTAGGGAGATAGGAACAACTCTTGGAGAGGGACATTGGAGCAGAGAGTGGAGGAAACAGGGGAGCAGGTAGAGGGAACCAAGGGAAAAGGCCAAGGGGCAGAAAGGAGGCCCCTGTGCTGAGGCAGTGAGCTGGGTGGGGGTGCAGAGGGGCTGACCACAGGGCCCTCCAGATCAGCCACAACGAAAAAGCTGTAGTTCACTTTAAGTCGAGGGCCAGGAAACTACAGCCAAGTTTAGCCCACTACCTGTTTTTGTACAGCCTGTAAGCTAAGAATGCTTTTTTATATATTTTTCAATTTATATGGTTTTATTTTTTACTTTTTAAAGATTATTTTGAGCTGAGGTTTTTATATTTTTTAATAGTGGGAAAAAATAATATATTGAATATTACTTTGTGACATGAAAATTACATGAGATTCAAATTTCAAAGTCAATTAGTGGCATTTTATTGGAATACAGGCGGATTTGCTCATGTATCACCTGTGGCTGCTTTTGCTCCACAATAGGGGCAGTGAGTCATCACAACGGAGACCAGAAGTGGTGTGCTCAAGGCTCACACTGCTGCTAGGAACCCTGAAAATCACAAGGAGGCCCCTGTAACTTGATAGTGTTTAGCATTATACTGTGACATTTTATTATATTTTTAATATTTTGTTAGACAGGGTCTCGCTCTGTTGTCTGGGCTGCTAGAGTGCAGTGGCGTCGTCATAGCTCTCTGCAACCTCAAACTCCTGGCCTCAAGTGATCCTCCTGCCTCAGCCTCCCAAAGTACGGGGAATTATAGGTGTGAGCAACCCCACCCAGCCTATTTTGTTTTTATTATCCATATGTCAAAACAATAAAAGTGGACCTTGAATGTCATGCTTTGAAGGACCAGTGGAGTGTGGGTTACTGTGCTATTGAATTAGATGGAGATAATGTTCATTATGCAGTGATACTATAGCTGTGCTAAAATAACATTATGTCAACATTACTAGAGCAAGTACTCATCATAATATTCCCAACTTACACAATGGAACTCAAACTCTATCCACTTCCATTTCCTTATAGGCAAAAGAGAGAAAAAAAAAAACGAGAAACTCTAAAATGAAATATCTTATCACAGCAGACAGAATTACTTCACAAAAATGAAAATGACCCTACACTAAAGTTTTTTTTTTTTTTTTTTTTTTTTGAGACAGAGTCTTGCTCTGTCACCCAGGCTGGAGTGCCGTGACATCAGCCTAGCTTACAGCACCAGCACCATTCCCAGCTAATTTTTTCTATTTCTGATAAAAACAGGGTCTTGTTCAGGCTGGTGTTGAACTCCTGACCTCAAGCAATCCTCCCATCTTGGCTTCCTAGAATGCTAGGATTACAAGCGATGAGCCACTCACTGTGCCTGGCCTAAAGTATGTTTTAAAGTGGCTCATTTGTTATCCAAGCAGGGAAAGCTATTTTCCAATGATGAGCTAATTAAATTGTGTTGATTTCAGCAGCCAAAACTATGTGTCTAAAGAAAATAAACTTCCTTAAGACCATTAGCCTTTTGACAGGATTAGCTGCCTGCAGAGCTGAGGACAGTGAGAGCAACGTAACAGTCCTAT